GGAAGAAATGTTTGTGATGCAGGTGCATATGGGCCAGGGAGACTGCATCCACCACGTGGGGCTACACCGGCAGGAGCTGGGGTGGTGCAGAAAGCCTTCAGAGAGGCCCACAGAGGAGAGTCGGGCAGGGACGCCCTTGGCAGTTTCAAGCTCAGCAGCAGTGAAACCAGCTAGAGAACACGAGCTTCTCCTGGGCAGCGGGAGAGGGCGGCAGGCTGGATCACCTCCTAGGGCTGCTGGGCTCTAAGCCATGCCTCCAGCCGGGGCTCACAAGGCTTCCAGGCTATGGATTTGGGTCCCAGCTTGAAGTGCACTCCCTGGGCCTTTCAGGTCCCCCAATTCCTTGTGCTCTCCAGGGCCCAACCCTTGGCCACTCCACTCAGTGGATCTATCCCCATGCTTGAAACCAGAGCAAACCTCCTCACCATCAAGCCCATACCCCCAGGCAGCTGCTTGGATTGGGCTCTGTAGCTGGGATCACCCTTTGACGCATGTCCTTCCAACCCTGCAGCTCTCCCCTGCTCAGGCGGTACCTGCTGTACTAGTCACTACAGATGGAGAGGAGGAGAGAGCACGGTTGGGGGCAGGTGTCTGCACTCAGCCCCCAGGGACCTGCCTGCTTCCCCCCTCCCAGCCTACCCAGCCCCATCCCAGCTGACATCCTTTCAGTAACACAGTCCTGCCAGTGCAACCCAGAGTGCAGAAGTGCTGAAGCAAAGGTGCCCGTGCTAGTCTGGCTCATTTCCCTTCCCCTGCAGGAAGAAGCTGTTGCAATATAAGGGTATTTAAGCAGTAGGACTGCACCTGCCCTGGAGGGCTGCAGGGATTTTGCTATACCAGAGCAGCTGTGTGTGCAGAGAAGCCCTTAGCACAGTGATTCTCAACCTTTTTAGACTCGCGGCATCCCTGGATAGGCTCAAGCAAGCCCTGGAGACGCTCAAGAAAGCCCTGGAAAGACTTAAGTAGACTTAAGGCCCCTCTTGGAAAATGCCAACTCTTTGTTTTTACTCATTTTTGACTACAAAAGGATAACAGAGCAGGTTTCCTGTTGCAAAGGACTCAGAATGAGCACAGCTAGGCACCTCTAGCTGAAATCTCTGGGTTTATCCTGTGAATCATGCTTGTACACCTAACAGTGATAACATTGTGTGGCACCCTGGAACCCCCAAAAGGATCTTGTGGCACCTTGGCTGAGCATCACTGCCATGGCAATAGACATTTGTCTGTTCAGCCCCCCCGGCAGGGTTACAAATGCAATGCCTCCCCTGGGATCCCATGGGCTGGTGCCCTGGCCATCCCCACAGCTGGGGGCTGGCAGGCTTGTGGGACTGGAACGGCTGTCACTGAGGCACTGAACAGCACCCCCTGCACCCCGCAGAACTGGGGGCCGGCTTCACATGGAAGGTCACTCCCTCGAGGGCAGCTGTCCCCGAACGTGCCGTGTCCCCTCTGGTTCTCCAGACATCCTCCAGTGAAGTCAATGGTGAGCTGGCATGGGAGGAAGTGCTCACACCGAACCTCCCTGCCCAGAGGCTAATCCCACCCCTCACAGCTCAGCATGTCTCTTCACGTGCCTTTCCCTCCCCACCAGCCTCGGGACTGTCCCACGCAGGTCTCTCCCGGGTGGCTGGCCCTTCTTTGCTTCTGCTCTGGGCTCCTCGGCCTGCTCCTCCCTGGCAGGTGCCTTCTCTTCCACGGCCTCCGCCTGCCGTGGCCCAGTCGGGTCTCCTCGGCCATACACGGTGTGCAGGGTGAACTCGGGCAGCGTGGACTCCATCATGCGCAGAAAATTGTATGCGGGCAGAGGCGGCGTCCAGGGTGCGTCAGACAAGGTGGCTGAGGGGAGGAGACAACGGGCTGTTACTGGGATGACTGGGCATGGGAACATGGCTGACAGGGGAGGACCGAGGCCCCGATCCTGCTGGACAACAACAGGATCCCATGCAAGGGTCTAACAGGCCTCTCCTGAGCAACGATGGGATGGAAGGGAGGCTCTATTTGCATCCTCTCTCCCCAGCCCAATTTCCCTCAGGTTTCTATTCATTACATAGTACACCCATTTCCCTGAAAAGCGGACTGCATTTGGTTTAAGAGGACCTTCCAAACAGAGACAACGCTGCTGCAGATATCGATATGCCACTCCTTTGCCCTGGCCCTTTAAAAATCCTCCTGAGGTCCAGGAGATTTTCTTGGCCTTCCAGGAGAACCGCATGGCAGGACACCGGGCTCCTGCAGAAATGACCCTCCCTTTTTGAAGAACAAGGGTTTTAAATGCACAAGGCACTGCTGATTATTATTTCTACTGGCATAACTATTATAGAGAGAGGCAGGCGACTACTGATAAAGTAAACCCTCTGCTTAGGAAAGCTTATGGTCTACTACTTCAATTCAGTTCATCTAGGAAGGTGCAAACCTACCCTGCCTTCTGCATCACTCTTCTGGGCATCGCTCCTGTTCCACACACAAGGATCTAAGGCTTTGCCAAAGCATCTCATTTCTCTCCCTGCCTGGATTTTTGGGTTTTCTCTGCCTCTCCCCAGCCCACAAAGAGTTTCCTAATCCATCTCTGCCCTTTCTCTACCACACTGGCTCCCTCCTGTGTCCAAACAATACAGAGCTTTGCTGAAAGGTCATAGAATCATAGAAGTCGGGTCGGAAGGGACCTTGTAGATCTTCAAGTCCGGCCCCCTGCCTGGGCAGGAGGAAAACTGGGCTCAAGTGACCCCAGCCAGGTAGGCATCAAGCCGCTTCTTAAAGACCCCCAGGATAGGAGCCAGCACCACTTCCCTTGGAAGTTGGTTCCAGATCCTAGCCGCCCTGACTGTGAAGTAGTTCCTACGGATGTCTAATCTAAACCTGCTCTCCAACAACTTGTGGCCGTTATTCCTTGTTATCCCGGGGAGCGCTGGGGGAAACAAGGTCTCCCCAAAACCCTTCTGGTCCCCCCTAGTGAGTTTATAGACGGTCACAAGGTCCTCTCTCAGCCTTCTCTTGTGAAGGCTGAACAGGTTCAGGTCCCGTCGCCTCTCGTTGTAGGGTCTGCCCTGCTGTCCCCGGATCATGCGGGTGGCCCTCCTCTGGACCCTCTCTATGTTGTCCACATCCCTCTTGAAGTGGGGCGCCCAGAACTGGACACAGTACTCCAGCTGTGGCCTGACCAGTGTCGCGTAGAGGGGGAGGATCACCTCCTTGGCCCTGTGTGAGATGCACCTGTGGATGCACGATAGGGTCCAGTTAGCCCTGCCGACCGTGACCTCGCATTGTCGGCCCATGTTCATCTTGGAGTCAATGATGACTCCAAGATCCCTTTCTGCCTCCGTGCTCTCAAGAAGGGAGTTTCCCATCTTATAAGTGTGTTGCAGGTTACTACTGCCCAAGTGCAGCACCCTGCACTTGCCCGTATTGAAACGCATCCTGTTTTTGTTAGCCCACCCTTGCAACCTATCCAAGTCTTTCTGCAGTCTTTCCCTCCCTACTAGCGTGCCCACCTCACCCCAGATTTTGGTATCATCAGCGAATTTGAACAGGTTGCTTTTCACCCCGTCATCCAAATCACTGATAAAGAAATTGAACAGCGTGGGTCCAAGGACCGAGCCCTGGGGGACTCCGCTGCCCACTTCCCCCAGGTCGAATATGACCTGTTCACCACCACCCTCCGAGTATGACCCTTCAGCCAACTAGCAATCCATCTGACTGTGTAGGCATCAATGCCACAGTCGCCTAGCTTTTTAATGAGGATGGGGTGGGAGACAGTGTCAAAGGCCTTGCTGAAGTCCAGAAAGACGACATCCATGGCAACACCTGCATCCATTGCTTTTGTGACCTGATCGTAAAAGGCAATCAGGTTGGTCTGACATGACCTGCCCCTAATGAAACCATGCTGGTTGCCTCTGAGCATCATCCCCGATGCCAGCCCATCACAGATGTGCTCCTTAATGATCTTCTTAAAGAGTTTCCCCAGGATTGAGGTAAGACTGATGGGTCTATAGTTGCCCGGGTCCTCCCTCCTCCCTTTTTTAAAGATAGGGACTACATTGGCTATCTTCCAGTCATCTGGCCCGAGCACCGCGAGCGCTCGTAAAGCCGTGCCAAGGGCCCTGCAATAACCCCTGCTAGGTCGTTTCTTCTCTGCTTCCAAGGCTGCCAATTAGAAGTGCTGGGGGAGTTATTTGGCTAAAGCTAAACTGGACTCAAGTCATCACTGAGATGGGCTTTTCTCTGTGACCATAGGGGATAAGAGCAAGAGCCTCAAGATGCAGCAGGGGAAATTTAGGCTGGAGATTAGGAGGAATTTTCTGCCTCGGCAGGTGGTCAAGCATTGGACCAGGCTGCTGAGAGAAGATGTGGAACTGCCATCTCTGGAAATTTTCAAGAGCAGATTGCACAGACATGTGGCTGGGATGGTTTAGGTAGGGGCGATCCTGCCTTGAGGGGGTTGGACTTGATGTCACCTCCTGAGTCAGACGATTGCAAGAGGATCCGATGATCGCAAGAGGTTCTTCTAAATCTAGCATTCATTTTCCCCAGAGCTGGTCCCTGAAGAAACTGTTTCTGGAATTTAGGCCCCAGATAAGCATGTGCTTAAAATGTTTTGTTAAAGTCTCACCAGTATCCATGAAACAAGCACCCGTTTACAGCTGGGCACATGGAGGATTTTGCTCAGGGATGCTCTGAGGAACAAGGAGCTTAAGGAACAGCATCAAATGGCAACAGAGGGTCAACTTGGAAATTACAAGGTGAAAATTGCTTCAAATGGGGACTGATAAAACACAGGAGATGCGTGACACTGACACTGCAGCTGGGCATCCTGTATCCCAAACGCAGGGCACATCTGCCAGCTCCCTGGGGGCCGAGAGGAAAAGCAGATAATAGGAAAAGTAATTTCTGCCATTAGCAGATAAGGAAACTCGGCCACTGGGGGCACTCTGAAGACAAAGGCTGTTGTGTCATTAGGGTCCCTAGCGGGAGGGGAGATGGGACAGAAAGGCAACACAGCATTATTCAGACAGGAGCAGGAGCTGGGAGATCCCCATCGTGCCCACAATAGCTCGGTGGGGAAGACAGCAAAGGCCTTGCTGTGAGATAAGGGAGTCTCGACTCCTGGTCACTTCGCAAACGCCAAAGTGACTCCTGGTCACTTTGGCGTTTGCGCCTACCAGAGCCCCAGCTAAAAGCGTGTGCTGTCGTGGAGGCAACCTGTACTCGCAGCGTGGATCTTTGTCGCTCCCAAGTGGCCAGATCGTGTAGGAGGCCTCGAGTCCCTGCTCTCCAAAGGGACTGAAGTGTCTCACTTCTATTTGTCTCCTTAAATCAGGAGGTGTTCAACCCCCAAAATTCATCCCACAGAGCCATGGCACTGGGCTCATGAGGCTTCCTTCAGGTTGGGAACTTTGGCAGTGAGGAAGCAGCAGCAATTACTATCGATCCTCCCCTGCTACCAAATCCTCCCCTCCCCGGGCTGATCTGGGGCATTTCCCACGTAGCCGGATTGGATCCAGGCTGCCCTCCCAGCCACCATGTGGCTGGATCAGGCCCAGGCTCCAGCTGCTCCACGTGCCAGATCAGGCCCACTGGTGGGATCCGGCCAGACCAGGCACTCCCATCAGACCAAACAGTTGGGCACCACAGTCCTGAACGGAGAGCCAGGGTAGGTCGTGGTGCCTGGCTCCTCATGGGAATCGCTGGAAGCTCCCTCCCACTGCGAATGCACATGGTTGCCCATAAAGGACCTGCAAGGCTGCAGGTACAGGGTGATATTTCCTAGTCGGAGCATGGGGGGAAGGAGGTTTTGTGCTCATAGACATCACCAAGACCATCTCAGCAGCAGGCACCCAGGGATGACTATGGAGCATTGACAGCCGTCCAGACTGGCTGCGACTCGGCTCTCAACACTGAACAAGTCCTGCCAGCTCTGCACCCAGCTCACGCGTTCTGTTCTGACCGGACGGCTTGTACTTCTCCAGCTCAAACTCAGAATAACTCTCCCCCCTTCCCCCCCCCCCCCCCCCCCCCCT